AAACTGGCTGAACCAATTGAACAAAACCATCATTGTAAGCATTCAAGTCATTCAATGTCATGGCAGTCAGTGAATTTTTAATTATGTTAAATGGGATATTGATATCTGGGTATTTCGGGATATTGATATGTTGGTATTTCAGCATTCTCATACAAGCTTTTTTTCTTTAGTGGGGCACACAAGTGCAATATTTATGAATGCTCTTTATAGTGTTTACAAGATCCTTAGATATTAAAGTAGCATTACCGAAGTAGTCGTTACTTCCTTCCTCTTAGTAAAAGCAAAAGATTAAAGCAGGATCATTTAGTTATATATGGAAAAGAAAGATCCGCATTAATATCAGGTCAAATGTTTTATTTTTCAACTTTTTAGAAGTTGCACCTGCTAAAACAAGCTGATGTGTTGCAGGATGCTTTATATTGCATAAATGTAGCAGGAAGTGTTTTTGCCATTAGGGTGGATTATTGTAACAGTAGTTTCCTGATGACATCATAGTAAATTCCAGCTGCCCAAACAGTTATTTTCCAGAAGAGGTTATCTGTAGTGCACTTGCACAAAATTACACTTAAAAGGGCACTCATAGTTCCCTTGGGACTTATAAACCAAACCTTTTGTCAAATCCTTAGTAAATGCAGAATTCTTTGTTTTCATTCTGTGGCAGTAGTAACAGTATGGGCTGTATACGGTAGTTTGTGATTCTGGATTAAACAAATAAAAATTCCATTATGCAGGGCAGGAGAAATGAAAGTCTGCAGTGCAAGCTTCCTATCATGAAGGGATAGATAGCACAATGGTTCTCAAATGTTTCTTTCTAGAGATTTTTTAGGCTGGTGACATAAAGATAAGGGCATACAGACTGCAGTCCCCTACCTGAAATGGCACTCTGCCCTATCTGCGTTTTGAAGGCACAGGTAGCCACAGAGCAGGAGAAGATACTGTTTGAGAAGCTGTCCCGAGGGTGTAGAGATGCATTTTTGCATGGGATGTTAATATATAAAGGTATATATCTTTCCTAGAGTAAATCTGAACTGATTACTTTGTTTGAGGTTTTTTATTTTTAAACAGTAACCTAATTGCTTGGACAAGCTCTTTAGGTACTGTCTTGAAGGCTGCATTAGAAATTTTCATGCCTAGTAACACAATTCAGAGGGTCTTCCCAGACTTAAGAAGCCATAATTAATATGGAGTCAAACATTCCTGGCAACTGCTGAATTTAAAATGCATATTAATATATATTTAATGAAGAATACACTGTCTTATCATTGACTCTTTGATAAATCTAGTTGCAGGAAAGTAAAATCTTGGAGTTTTACCAGTTTGTCAGACCCTAAGAACATCAAATATCTACCCTCTGCCGATTTCTTTCTAGCAAATTACAGTATTCTTCAGGAATAATATGTTGTTCCAAGGATCATTTAATTTTCATAATTATCTTTATTAGTTGTATTACTCTATATATGTTGAAAACATCATGCAGTTTTTAATGCTCTTCCACAACATGTCTCTGAATTGAACAGCTTACCGTCACGCTCACTTTGGGAAGGAGAGCAGGAGCAGTGGGGAAAGTTGGCGGATTAACTCTTTGTAGAATTCAAGATGATCTTCCATCTCACTGTTCTGGTCATTGATTTCTCCTGCACTCACTGATTATCTGCTTCTATTTATCCACATGTATAAGAGCCTGCTAAGTCAAGATCTATGATGTAAATCCTACGAAAACTAGTTCACTGATTTCTTTCATTCTTTTATTCTTCAAAATGTTCACATGCAGGACAAACCCTCATTTTTTTTCCAGCCATTTTCTCTTTCCCTGTCATTCATCTCTTTACTGGGGTTGCTTTGCTCTCCCACTGAAGTAACTGAAGGTTTGTGTTAGGTGTAGTTAGCCTCCATCCCTGTTGGTCCCATAAAATCTTGTAAGAATGATCTGCGTTACCATTCAGCATATAGATCAACATATAAACAATGCACCCACCTTATCTGTGGAGTAAATCTTCAGGTGCATGACTTTCAGACCTCTTTAATGACTTCCCAGTCCCACTGAGGCTAACACTGGTCTGGGTCGGTGGTTGCTCATCCTGCACATTTCACAGAGCCATAGATTTCTCATTTGCTTTTTAGCATTTTATATGAGTGGGTGAGATGGCTTTACTGGAGTGTCTCAAAGTCAGATGGGGCTGATGAAAATGAGCAATCTGACCCCTGTATCTGTAGGGGGACAAGTGTTGTGCCGGGCCAATTTCTCGCTCCTACACAGTGCTGGAGATTTTGGAGGTTTATGGATTTTTCTGTAAGACTGGTACCTCACCACTAGGATTCCTGCACTCTTGGCCTCCTCATTTGGAGGATGTTATTTTGATCCATGCTCAGAAGAAGATTCTTTCTTCTCTGGAGAAAGTTTTGAAATGATGGAAGCATTTAAAAAAAATAGGTTTGTTTGCTGATAATAACTAATTTGATCCCAGACAATTTGTGATGAAAATGCTTTTCTCCTCACTAATCCAATGTTACAATAATTACAAACAGCAGATCAATAGAGGGAAGTATAAAATGGAAGTGTTACTTTGGGTATTAAGCCACAAATTGATCTCCCTGTCAAACCTTAAATAAGTGCCGTATCAACACATATTTCAAAGGTTGGAGGACATTCTGAAATGTAATAGTGATGGACCAAAGAAACAAGAACAATAATTTGTTTTATGTAAGTGCATTAACTCTTTATGGCCCGAATCTACTCAGTCCTGCTATTATCTCCTTATGTTCTGCACTCACACGTTACGTCAGTGATTTCTGACTGTTGCTCCACTTGGCTCTGATAACATACGGGATTATCTCTAGATAATAATGATCCGCACTTGAATTAGAAAGAACCACCACACAATATGACACAAGTCTTGTGCAATTGTCAAAATAGTCCAGATTTTATATGGCAAATATTCTAATCCAACTCAGTTATTGACCAAAATAATTCCTTCTTGGGAAGATAAAGACAACCCCAGAAGACCTTCATATCACATAAGAGTCTTGAATTTCCTTGGCCTGTTGCAACTCAGTGTACTGACTAAATCATACTGATCTGCTCTAAAGAAAGTAGAGGGACAAAAACCTTGAGAAATTCTAGAATTCTTTGGGAAAAGAAGCAGAAATTTATGGGTTGTAATTTTTTTTCCAAAAACTAAGACTCACAGTGGTTTTGAGATCCCTTTTCCCTCCTAATGGGCAGAAGTATGAAAATTGTCATTACACTCCTATAGGCATGATGAGGCTTTAGAAGCTGCAAATGTCACTGCTCAAATCACTTTATGGCATTTCTTTTATAAGCCATTAAGAGAGATTTAAAGGAGTAATGTATCTCTGAAGAGTTTGTTCTTGAATATGTTTTTTAAGCCTTGAACATTGCTGTAGCTCAGATGTAGCACATTTGAGAAGTCAGCTTCTCCTCTAGGAATGCTTGCCAGGTAAGTGCACTGATCTGGGGAAAACAGTTTTTGCTTTCTATGGGTTGCCTCTCCCCTGATGAGCGTATGGAAGGGGTGTTTAGGAGTGTGAGGTTTTGGTTCCTCTCTTCCTAATGCTAGGAAATCCTTCGGGAAGAGGTCTTGTGGATCATTAATTTTTTTGTTGTTACTGTTCTTCAGATAAGGGCTGCTATTTTTTCTGACAGTACTGAGTCTTCTGAGTTTCCTTTGCTGCTGCAGCGATTAAGACTTTTGACTGGACATGAGTAGTCAGAGCAAGAAGTCTCTTTGGTGTAAACCTCTCTCGGCTACTAACCAGTCAGTTCTCCTGAGTGGAGATGACTAGCTGAGCAGCCAGAACTTTTTTCCGAACAGAAATCATTCCTGTGTTTACTGTTGGTTAGTATGAGGGGGAAGGAAGGTGGTAATTCTCCGATCTTGGCCACCACTGAACTCTCGTCAGCCAGTTATGATTAGCTTGATTATTTAATTACTTTTCCAGCACTAAGAATAAGTATTGCTTCACAGTGGAGAACAGAGGAAAACTGCAGGTGTCCCTTCAGCAGAGCGAGAAGGCTTTTCTCTAGTCTAGCCTTTTGTTGTTACAGCAACATTTCCAGCTGTGATACTTCCTTGCTGCCAAGTAGTAGTAAATAGCTGTATAAATCACAGTAATGCTTGTACCATTCGGGTACAGCTGATTGCTTTTGGACTCTTACGGGTGTACATATGCTTATTCTCATATTTCACAGTTAATTGTTAATATTTCTGCAAAAGGAATAACTTTGGGAATTGAAGAATGAACACTTTTGAAGTGCTTCATCTTCAAACTTTGGATTTCATTCTTCACTTGAAGCATACACAGTTTTGTTTAAATTGTATCTTAATTTTATTTTCTCCAAGACTCTCTTCAGAACTAGAAGTCAGTAGCCATGGCCTGCCTGACCCAGAGGACAGTCAGTAACAGGGCAGGTACATTTAATTTAGGACAGCAGATACAGACTGCTGCTGCCTGTGCTGCCTACAGGCAGAGCTCACACCACTGAAGTGGCGATGTGTCTCCGTGCTGGCACTTGCAACCTGGAGCCTGGCAGAGTTTTGCTGAGTGCTGTTTGCATTTCTCAAGAGGGAATGGGTAGGTAGGAGGCCTGTGTGGATGGGAAGTTCATTGCCATTGGAGAAGGGAGAGTGAGTAGTGAGAGGACTGGAAAAGACTGGTGTCCTGAGTTGTTTGTTCTTGACTACCTCCTTTGTACAGGGCCACAGGTATGCCTGACTTTTTGTACAACTGCGAACAATAATTTGCTGTAAAAGCCTATACTCAAAGCTGAATGAGATGTGGGACTAGGATAACTCTTGAGGGTGAAGAAAAGGAAGAATATATGTTATGTGATGCATTGCTTTGAGTTCTTTCTGATTAAAGAAACCTGTATCTCCATAGGCACTTGCTGACTTGCAATGGGAGTCAAAATAGATTTTGCTGAAAGGAAAGTAATAAATGCGGGGGAAAAATGAGACCGCTTGTTATCCTTTTGTTCAAAGCATATTGAGATGGACCTGAAGTGGAATCCTGGCAGAGATTCTCATCCAGCCTCAGCTGCAGTCCGGGTGACTGATTTGAGTTGGCGAGGCAACCTAAATCCCAGTCCACTGATTAAAGATGATGGAGAGCTACTTATGGATGAATACCTTCCCCCAGGAAACTGGTGAGTAGATATCCAACTTTTTAATGAAGTAGAAGAGGCAAACTGGCATATACAGAGCTGTATTAACTTAACCTTCCATCTGCTCTTGTGATGATTACAAATTGTTGCATATCTGACAGACTTCTGCGGAAAGTAGATTCTGTCTTATGGAAATTTATCAAATGTTTGTCCTCCTTTCACCTTGTTTCATATTAAAAATATTCCCAGCATGAATGCTGCTGTCTTCATTGCTGGGTTTCTTGAAGCAGCGTGAAGAAAAGTATGGGTAGCATAATTATAATTTAACGGATCTCATTAATGCCATCTGAAGTACCTTGAATCTTAGAATTAGATAAAGCTTTTTACATTAACCTTGTTCTAGAGATTGGAAATATAACTTTAAAGCACAACTTTTCTTCTGAATTAGTGAAATCCTCTGTCCTGCAAAGAAGCCAATTAAAATATTCTGCAATTGCTAAAAGTACTTTCTATACATATCAAAGTGTGTGAAATTTCAAAGCACTTTTGAAAGGCATGTTCCTTTTTCACTGGGGGAAATTATTTTGGCATGCAGCCTGTTGAAAGAGTAACATGCTGAAATCTTGTGAAGGAATTCTTTGTGAAATATTCGTGAAGGAATACTTGGTTGCATATTGTGCTGTGTTTGCTCAGGAAGAATTAAAGGTGAAATCCTTTGGGATGTCTAGGAGCTGAGAAAATAACCTCACCCCTATTAAAGGGAGAGCTGAGAGCAGGAGTTAAGGGGAGAAGCTGCAGCTTTCTGTGTTGCAGACCTGGATAGAAACTAGTGAAAGACAGATGAGGCCAAGGCTGTGGTTCTGTTACAGATTGCCATTGGTTTGTTATTAAGTGGATGATTTTGGACCTTATGATGAGAAATATCATGATTAAATAATCAAATAGAATTTTATAAGAATATTAGTTTTATAAAACTCAGAGAATAGTTGTGTATTGTTTTAAGTAACTATGGAACACTGTGTAACCATGTAACCAGCTATGCTGCTATGGGCTCATCTGTAAAATCTCAGACCAAGACCACATGGGCCACATAGTTCAATAATTATTAATCTTGAAATAATACTTTATTGTTTTGCATGTCAAAAGATAGAAGATTGGGTAAGATTAATAGAAATTGGAGAAAATGAACTGTAACAACCTGCCTATGTCTGCCAAGTTATGAGAAACTAGGTAAAAGGTAATTCTGACAGGGGGAGATGGCAACCACCGACACATGGACCCCCGACTCTTATTACAGCCCAGACTCATTTCAGGACATCAGTGCACATAACCAGAAAGAGGAGTGGATATTAAAATTATTTCCAGGAATTAACATGTTTAGGCATGAGCACTTGATTAATATGTATTATGGTATTCTGTATAATCAGCGTGTTATACAAGTTAGGTGTGTGCTGTTGGTGAGATGATTCCCCTGCACACCCAGCCGTTAATAAAGGAGTGTCTGCTTTCTACATCACATTGTGTCGATAAGTTCTTTTATCCCTTTTTGGTGACAGTTCAGATGCTCCCAGCAGCAGGGTGGTGGTGGCGGTGTCAGTAATCCCCTGTGCAGGCGCTGCACCAGTGCAGAGACACTACCTGCTGCAGGGGCATGTTCTACCTGCAGGCTTACACCACTCCTAACTACCTACCAGTCACAGTTTTGACTGTGCACTGTAGATTAGACAGCAAGTTGTTCTCAGAACTACTCTTCCCTTAGTAGCTAAGTCTCTTAGTGTTTATAAAATGTTTGGAGATGTAAAAATCACTTTCTGCAGAGTATGTTTTAAGCTCTCTGCAGAAAACTTGATATATGATCTTGTGATCTATGCCATTAACTTTCTTTTGGCTCATGTGAACCTCTGACAACTTCTTGGTCTTTTTTTTAAATCTGGCATAAATTTTGACCAGTCTAATGTATTTGTGGCCTACAATACCCTGTATAAATCCAACGGGAAGCTCTCAGATTACCCTGTTTTCTTAGGGCATGAACCAAAGCCCATTAGAGCAACCAAAACAGCTGCCCTCTGACTTCAATAAACTCTGAATTAAACCCTTAGGAAGTTCTTTCGTTGGCCTGAAATTCTTTGCTGTCTAGAGCTCTGCTGCTTTTAGTTCACAGTAAGTTGTAAGCAGAAAAGTATATGTAAGGCAACGTTACCCACATGCTATGAGTTGAAGTTTATTATTTTGTAATATTTTTGGAAATCCAGATCAGAAGTTAAATTCCCCCACAATTCTTAAATAGAATTCTATTTAAAAATGTGAAGAAACCCTTTATTATGCATATGTACCCTCTTGAACTTAATCGAGTCTTGCCAGTTAAGATTGTGTTTATTAACATTTGTAAGGAATTCCATTGTGTGTATTAACATTTGTAAGGAATTCCATTTCAAAGACTTTTAAATAGATGCATACTGTCCTGTTCATTTTTCTGGACACAGCTATTTTCTGGCCCTGGAACCTGACATTTGTGTTGGCATAGCTGGAATACTTCCTGCTCAGAGGAAAAATTATATGACATTGTCAAGGAAACATTTACAATGTTTATAGCTTGTTTTAATAACACATCCAATCTATCTATTCTATGACCTTTATGTTGATCAAATGGAAACCGCTGCTTCCATAAATTTACTTCCTTTGGATTTGCAAATGTAGAGACACTGTTCAAAGATTTAATCCAAAACAAGTTTTCACATGCATATATTTTAAGGAACCACATGTCATTGATAACCAAATGGTTTGAAGGGTTATTTTGCTTAAATCAATACACTTGCAATATCTTCTTGATTGTCTTTTAGTTGTGAATATTTTAGGAATTATTGATTTTATTCGCTGAAGTGCTCTGAGAAGGAAACTAATAGATTCTTGAATACATGCTCATTAAAGTAAAATTATTTTACATTCAAACAAGAACATAGGCTCCAGTTCTGCAGTGTCGCATAGGCAGATTTCTGGACACCTGATGGAGGTTCCTGAGGAAGATTTTTGTTCTGAGATATACACTCAGCTTTGCTGCTCACCCTTGCAGTGTTCTGTCTTGCATCAGTTCAGTTTGAGTGCGGGGAGGCTGGGAGGTCTGGCTGTGCAGAATCTGTCAAGACTGGGTGCCTTGAATTTCAGCCTGTGGCCTCGTCTCTACCAGCACATTTTACTTATTTTGTCCTTTTTCTAGGTGGATGACAGTCTATTTAGTACTAAAAACATTAGCAGTCCCCATTATTTAGGACTCTCTAAAAGGTGTGATACTTGCATTCCTTAAATTTTTTTCCAGTTGTCAGATTGTTTTCCTCCAAAGAGAGAAAAATTTGGCTTGAACTGATTCTTCTTTTCTTTTTTTTTTTTTAATTTTCTTTGCTTTCCTTTTTACCTCTTGGATCCCATAGCACATAAGACCTTGGTGGTCAAAGCACATTGGTCCTTTGCCTGTTCTCTTCCTCTCCATAGCAGATCCTCACCTCACTTAAATGCTATGCTTGCTCACTACAGGGTTTGTGGTCTTCTGTAGCCTCCTTTCAGCATAATGTTGGCTTTAAAATCCCGTGTGATTCCATATCCTCGTTATGTTAATGACATCTTCTGTAGTTTCTGTTTGCTGCCATCTCTCTTGCTGTGATGTCATGTAATAACCTTTTATATTTGAATGTGCTTCAATCCAAGCTACAGGTCAAAAGCTTTTGATGCAAGAGTCTGTATCATTAGATGTTCTTTCTATTCTTACTTCTAGTATCAATGTCCATTTTCTGTAGAACTGTTTAATCTTCATCTATATGAATAGGTGTTCTTGCTTTTCCATTTGCACCTGTCCTATTAATATTTCCAGCTCCCTGGTCTGCCTATGCTTATGTTTGCTTACATGTTGTTGTCGGATGTTGTAGAATAGCAGGGTGAGTTAATTCCCCATTCTCCCTTTGTTCTGAAAACTGGCTATTCATGGGCAATAAATAGCAATTCTTTTTTAACTTTATGAGGACTGTGGCATAGATTTCTCATTAAGTGTGGAGGAACTGAAATTAAGGGCTCCACCTGTCTAGGATCAGATTTTTATTTTGCTCTATTAACCTCTGTTGCTCCCTGCCCTTTGCAAAGGATCTTTTCCTGACTTCCACAGAAAGCATTCCACTTCTCAGAATAAACTCATTTTACAAGGTCAAATTATCTTCCAGATATGTCACATTATCAAAACTAATCGTGTTTGTGTGTGATCTTTAGAGAAGAAAGGAAGTATTCTTATTTTGCTGTTTATTGATCCTGCTCCAGTGAATCATGTTTTCTAAACTTAGGAACACGTGTTTGGAAGTGGTGTTGTTTTGTTGCTCAGGAGATTAGGGTGTATTTCATATGGTATGCACTCATCCTCATGGGAGGAGAAAATCCTGGAGGGTCCTGGAACAACAGATTAGATTCTTGCTGAAATGACTCGGTCATTTCCTTTTTTCCTTCACATAAAGTTTTCCTCTTGGTTGTAGCTAAATGGATTTGAAAAAAAAAAAAAAAAAAAAAAAAAAGATAAGAAAGCAAGTGCAAAATCTTGATAAATTAAGTGGAGTAAAGGAGGGGAAGTAACTGATTGAATTTGGATCTGCTGAATTCTTCATTAGAATTGTATAATAATTTTAAAAATAAGAATTTTTAAAAAGCTTTGAATGGACCTCTGGAGGTCTTCCAGTTTGACCTGCTCAAAGCACACCTAGTTTAAAAGTTAAATCAGTTGTTCAAGGTAGCAGATAGTAGTAAACATAATACTGTGAACAGGGAAAGAATTACAAAGCCTCTTAGCTTCAGAGCTTTCCCCTTCACATGTTCTTATCCTAACACTAATGCCTTTACTACAGTGAAGGCTTGTAGTTGTTATATTAGCGTTTATCCTGCTATTTAGGCATCTGATGTTTTACATTCAAATTGTCACATCAGGAATCTTTAAATGTATATGCATAGATGCACATATGCATGCCTTTATATGAAAAAAAAACAGTTTTTCATTTGCATATGGTCACAGCTGCTTAGCTAACAGAAAATGATAGATTACAGTCTTGAGTTTTGCGTGTTCAGTGACACAACACTGAGTAATGATTGTAGTTACTTCTTATGCACCTAATTGCTAGATAGGAAAAATAATTAATATTGGGATATGACTTTTATATTTATGTGAGGGAAAGTAAATCTTTAAAACAAATTTAAAGCAAAAATTGATGCAAGAATATCTCCTATCCTGACCTGCATGTTAATTCAGCGCATAGTTAAAACTGAGCTTGTTTCCTCCTACATGAATGATACAGGATATTTCTGGGAGATCAGGAAACTTCCCGTGTAGTTTCTGGTGCCCCACGTGTCCTCTGAGGTTTGCAATAGTTAGGACGTCTCCAGCAACTTGCTGCATCAAACCCTTAATACTGGTTTAAAAAAATAAGGTGTCAGTACTGTGACTCTCGGCATGAGTCAGTGGGAAGCTGAACCCGAGGTGGCAAGACAAGGCAGGGACCTGTCCATGTAGATCTGTTAATGTGACTTGGAGACTTCAGCATGAGAATAAAGACATCTTTACTAATGTATCCACCACCACTTAAATGTTATAATTATTGCCCTCATCTACACTTCTCATACAAGCCAAGAAGATCTCTCTTTATCACAGACTGAACATCTAGCTAATCTCTTCATTGGAGCTGAGAGAAGAATGTATTTGTATGCATATGCAGAAAGTAGTGAAATACAGCTAAATATTGTAATTATGGGTATCTGCATCATTTAGCCATTTTGAAAGGAAGATACGGGACCACAGGGAAGTTCCCTCTCACTAAAAATCCCTTGACTTAGAATCACTTGAAACCTTATTAATGTTTTAATAATTTTCTTGTTAGAAGAAATACTTTGTCATGCTTGTAGCAACAATAATTTATTTTTTTTTTGTGCAGGGAGAGCTTACACTTGAGTTTGGAATTTGAAATAAAATCCCTGCAAAAAGCAGCGAACACATGAATGGACACGAATCTAGTATTTGCATACAGGTGTAGTATTAAAAGAAAATAAGCTCACCACTCAGGAATTCCTGTCTTAGCCAAATTAACCAGGATCAGCAAAATAAACGCACAGCTGGAAATGCTTCTCTGACAGCTGCACACAACGTGCTCTTTAGCAACATACTGCCTTTCTTAGAGTATGTGAAAAATCTAGGGAGGAGAGAAGAAATCAGTTGTATACACCAGCTTTAATTGAACAGATATTATTTGCCAATTAAGGAATTTACAGAGAGTTGCAAGTGGGACTTGAACTGGATTTCCCAGCATCCCCAGGTGACTGTTCTGCCAGTTGGGAAGCTCTGCAAGCACAGAAGTATTTTTCACTTGCAATTTTTTACAGAATACTTATTGGCTCTTCTTGTCAGTCAGAAGAAAAGCTTTCCAAGCTAGTGCACAGTCTCCAGTTAGATATTGGCCAGACATTTGTGTGATGGAATGGTTTGTGAGCCATCATGGAGTTGATTCTTAAAATACTGGCTAAATTATTTATCAATATCTTCAGCATGATCTCATGGAAAATAGTTTTACTCCTATGTTGAAGGAGGCACAAAAATATAAAGTGAGCTTTATCTGTCTTTGTTTTACTTATCATGCATTCATCTTCAAAGAACTGTGTGGTGCTTTAGCATGGAAATTTATCCTTTCAAATAAACAAATTTAGGGTGGAGTATAACACTAGCTCCCCAGAATCGAGCTGTCGGGCCACCTTCGTGAACATCACGTGCCAGGAAGATTCTGATGTTTGATTCTTCAGACAGCATCCTCTTCCTCTATCTAACCAATACCTACCTTGCTGGGCGGTAGAGGGGTGGCAAGCAGAATCCTCTCTGAACACCAACAGTCAGCCTGGAATTATAGTTAGTTTTTTCAAGGTATCTTCTCTGATGTAAAATAATTCTGAGTATATGCAACGCTTTGCCAAGAACAGATCCTTGGTCCCTTTTGTCTGCCTTACGTTGAGGCTGAGCAGCTGTAAACAGCCAAAGAAATCCCTAGATGGCACAGCACCTCAATGTCTGTAAGCATTCCTGGGGCACAAGCAGAGAGACGTTCTGTCCCTGGCTGTCAAAACAGCCCTCTGAGCTGTGAGCAGGCAGTCATTACCTGAAGCAGCAGTGGGATACCTCAGAATTAGGGCAGGAGCCTGTCCTAGACCTGGCATGGCCCTGGAAACAAAGACATGCAGAGCACCTTAGCATCACTTTTACCTGCCTGGTGCCAGACATTTCTCTGTCCAAGATGATGGTCCTGCCAGTGTGTTTGCCCATATTTTTTTTTTTCTCCTTTGCTACCCAATAGCAGGAAAATTCTTCCTAAATAGCCCTGCTTTCAAATTTTGATGAACGTTCCTGGGCTTTGATGTTACCCAACAACATAAAAGGGAGATCCTGATAAATGTGTCATCTTTGTTTAAATGTTTCCATGTCCCTAAATGTCCTCTATTCCTGGTGCCAGAATTTTAGCTGTGATACATGAGATTGGGCCCCTCACCCCAAAAAGGCCATTGAATGACTCGAGCGTGGCCAGAGAAGGGCAACGGAGCTGGGGCAGGGTCTGGAGCACAGGTCTGCTGGGGAGCGGCTGGGGGAACTGGGGGGGTTCAGTCTGGAGAAGAGGAGGCTGAGGGGAGACCTCCTGGCCCTCTGCAACTCCCTGCCAGGAGGGGGCAGAGAGGGGGGATGAGTCTCTGGAGCCAAGGCCCCAGCGCCAGGCCCCGAGGGAATGGCCTCAAGCTGCCCAGGGCAGGGTCAGGCTGGCTCTGAGGAAGGATTTCTGTGCAGAAGGGGCTGTTGGGCGTTGGAATGGGCTGCCCAGGGCAGGGGGGGAGTCCCCGGGATCCCTGGAGGGGTTGAAGGGTCGGGCTGAGCCAGCGCTGAGGCATCTGGTGGGGTTGGGAACAGTCAGGGTGAGGTTCATGGTTGGACTGGAGGAGCTGCAAGGGCTTTTCCAACCCAGATGATTCTGAGATTCTGTGAGATGTATCACACTCCTGAAACAAAGAGCTTCAGTCCACAGTCAGGATTGAGTATGACTGTTCAGCAGGGATTCTTTTTCGCAGCGCTGGGCAGCACTGGGGATCGCTCCACCCCAAGTGCTGCACCTACTAACAAAACTCTCTAATATACACAAAAAGCATACATAGGCATTAGATATCTTAGAAAAGGTAGTCTTATGCTAAAGGGTTCTTAGAATTCATTTAGATAGTCTGAGCATACGTAGTAAAAACAAGAGTGAGGGTCTTCTCCCCTCCTTAGGGGTCCACACAGCCTCTCTCACTCTGTCCCTTAGTGAACTTTAGGTTTCTAGTGTCCATGTATGGTCATAGAGGTATTTGATCTGTCCTTCAGCTCCTGTTTGTTCCAGCTTTCAGTCACTTATCTTGACACTGGCATATTCTTAGGCACTTGTTTTCTTTAGGTTCCTGCTATTAGGGATGTACTCAGGGATTTTTTCAGACTGTCCAAGGTCTGTCTTATTTTTACTAGGCAAGGAGTTAAAGGTTTGAAAACATCTTCTAAGTGGGTACCTGGGTAAATGACTACAGAGTGTAGTTAGGAAAAAAATATAAATGAAATTACATACATTACAGTAAAAATAGAGGAAAAAATAAAAGCTAGTAAAACGTAAGTGATCTAACATTAAAACTGTCTTATTTTTACAGGTCCCTGTACATTAGAAATTTCAAGTATACTTGTAGCAGCTTCCCTTCACTCCCAGCTGCACCATTATGCCAAGAGAGGTGTCTGGCGAGTAGGAGTGTCCTGACTGTCTTCCACAGGAACCATTCACGACGTAACCTTCCCTTGAACTGCCGCCCTGGCCTGCTAACTATCTTGCAGTTAACACCTGGGGTCTCTGTGCTTCTGGTGTCTCTAAATGAGCTCATATCCTCAACCTGAAAGCATTTCTCATTTCCTTCATGTAGTAGGATAGCTTTTGCATCCCACGGCCTATCGGTTCCAAACTCTTCAAGCGTGTCCTCAGCATCAGCATATGGAAGGACAGTGATTTTCACAGAGACTCTTGGAAAAGCAAAACAGGGAAGTGGGGACCGAGAACACATGGAGTCTGTCGCATCTGGTTAGCACATGCTTCGAGGCATCTATCTATAGTTCAAAGAGCTGGTGATGGCAGCCAATAACCCTTTCCAGCACTGAAGCCACAGCCCTGCCTGTTGCAGTACAAAATATGGATGCACTAAGTGGCTCATCTCTTAGACAGGGAAAAAGTACAAATGGTGGATGTGGAAGAGGAAAAGGAGGGCAAAGAAGCACACTGGTAATCCCTGGTATAAGGAAAAGGAATAGAGAACGCCTAGGAGAGTAGACTTTATGCAGCTTGGTTTTTGAAAGAGCAGAAGGAGCAGCACTGTGAAAGGAGGCTGTCTACAATACAGTAGGGGGAAGGATGGAGTGCAGGAAACTTGCAGACAGCAAAGGAGAAAGGTAAAGGCTCCCTGTGGTGCCAGGACCTTCTGCTACTCTATTGGCAAAGTGTACCACCCTAAGCTTATTACTTATTCTGAGACTTCTTCGCATTCCGTCTTCTAATGATGTAGGCTCTTAAGACTATTTTGATGGGCAGGAGGGAGGTTTTTTTCAGAAGCAGCTTCCTTTAATGACAATAAGTTTGTGTGCAAGTCCAGCAATCCAAGTGTGTGGTTGTGTGTCAGGGCGCCAGCTAGCTCTCGTTTCTCACGTACTCTCATGCTATTTGACAGACAGTGTCATCTGCTGAAAAGGGTGACTGCAAAATGTGTCTTGCAGTCAGGGATCTTGTGTTTACTTGAGGGGAGAAAGCAGTCTGTAAATGATAAACTTGCTTTCTTTGCAGGAGCAAACCCTGGTTTGTGGTGGCTGCATCTGGGGATAGAAGGTAAATTTCTGGCTGCCACTGGGGACTTCCGAATTTTCACCTTAGACCTTTGTTTCTTATACTCTAGTAGGGAGGCAAGAAAGTCTAGGAGCTTTATTAGGCTCAGCCTGCTTAAAATCACAGTTTAAAAAAATATAAGATTAAAAATAATTTTAAGCACAATGTTTTAAAGGCAATTCAAAAGCAATTGAAGATTTTGGGTAATTCTGTTTCTTAGGAGTCCAAATCAAGACCTTACAAAGGGAGACAGTTTTTCAAGGAGGGATGCTCAGCATTTTCAGGAAACCATCCCCTTTTAAACTGTCATCTCAATTACACTCAGAGTGTGTTTTGTCCGTTGTAAGAGGATGTGGAACTATCAGTGAATGAAGTTGCAGTTGCTTGTGCGCAACACAAATTTTACTTCATGAGCAGGAATGTTGTAACCGCCATTTTTCCCTGCAAAATATACTGGATGTTCTTGTGGTTGTTTTTTCTTCCCAAAACTCATAAACAAAGGTGGTCATACGCAGTCCCCTCTAATGAATAATTTTTCCCTTATTATGCAAACTGAAGAATGTTGTAACTTTTTAATAGTAAGAAAAGTTGTCTCCTGTACATGTAGGTTCTTGAATGATTTCCTGCCTTCATCTTAAACAGAGGGGCAAAAGGCAGGTGACAATACTTCTGTTAACCCATGCTGTTGATTGCATCATTGCATCATTACATCATTACACATAGCATCAGCTCCTTCAGGCAGTTATTGTGACACAAAAGCCTTGTTTCTCATCTCTCACAGAGTGTTTCAGACCCCTCCGTGAACCACTAACCCATCAGGAAGAAAAGATACAGTTCTCTCCTGGTCTGGTCTGTTGAATTAGTGAATGGAAGGATTCACTGAGCACCCAGGGCTGATGCAAAGGAGGTGCTGAGACATGTTAGCCTAGATGAGGGAAGCTGGGAAGAGAGGAACTGGGTCATAGCAGGAAGGAGCAGGGGATGAGAGCCGTGGTAATGTGAGATTGCTTCAGCTGCTTGTGGAGTTGCAGCCTGGCATCTTAGGACTGCACAGCCTTGCTGTAGTTTTCACTGGTTGTCCCAGAGCTTCCCTCTCTCCTCTGCATATAGCTTCTGCTTGTTTCTGTCATGCTGCTTATCTCTGCCAAGGCAAAATCCACATGGACGTATCAACACAGACTTTAGGATATTAAGAGAGATCCTGTGATAAAATAGGAAAGATCCTTCATTCACACCCCACCCTTTGCTTAATGCAGTAGTTAATCCTATTACTAAGATTTTGCAAAAGTAATGAAATTTTTTAGTCTTCTATTTGCACTGCCTAGACCTTTTCAAAGAAATTTGTAATTCTTGTAATTAGTGTTGTCTTCTTCCAGAAAAGTGAGCTACTTGAGTAAAATCATGTTTCCTTTTCATAGTTTTGGGTTAAAAGGCTAAACAATGTGTTTTGTTGAGTTTTACTACCTAGTGCCTTTTTGATTACAGGTGACACTTAAAGGTAATACTTCCTGTCTGCTGAAGATTAGCACAACACTTATGCAAACTTTAAAACTTGGACATACTGTTTAAATGAAGTTAATTGGCATGTAAGTCTGTTGTTGATGCGCAGCATGAATGCAACCCTTAGGTTTCACTCTTTAAGCACTGTAGAAGTTACGTGAGACTAGAATAATTCAGAGCTACAAGGAAGAAAGATCTTTGAATACTGAATTTATTTCAATGTGATCACAACATCTAGCCATTTTGACCTGGAGTATATGTTGACAAAGCATTAGTTTGAAAGCCTTTCTACACCTTTTTGCTCCTTTGTCATCTGGTTTATTGCATGAGAGTACAAATATATCTCTGCTTGTCTTTACAGAAAGTTTTGACAGGGGTAGATGATCTGCACCAAGTGAAGGCCCTAGAGATGCGAGTAGATACAAGAGAGAACAGCTTGGGAAACTTCGGTAAGAAAACACTTCATCTTCTGCTCACCACCTCAAATTTTCCTTTCTCATGTCTTGAAGCAGGACTCGGGACTCAGAAACCAATAGCCAGTGTAAAGTACTGTCCTGATCAAGAGCTCTTGAAGCGTGATCTGCCCGGTACCTCTCACTCCTTGATCTCTGTTTCCTTCTGTGAGGCTCTAAATAGGACTGAAAACTATGGCAGTGGGATGAATGACATCACTTCTGTCTAAAGCCAATTAGTTTGAACAAATTCCTCTTGAATGATGTATGCCTCTAGGCCCTCAAGTGAGCATTTACTGATTACCTTGCCCTCTAGAGTACTTGCTGCTACTCTAGTAAAACAGTAGCCAAAGTTCAGTTTCTCTCCACTGTAAGATTTCCCTGTGGCTGAGAAATCACTAGTGGTATCAGGCTGCTTGTGCTGCCAGCAGCCTGTCTTTGCATCCTGTACTGCCTCATCCAGCTGTGCTGGGTGGTGTGCTGGTGCAAGGTCCTATAGATATGTCATTTGATGAGCCCCAAGCAGCCTTCATGCTTATGATTCATTTCTATGTCATCATCACTGTACTGGGGAATAAGGAATTACCAAAGGAGTTCCCTCTGTAGCAGAGTTAACACTGAGAATATTAAACCTTCCTTTTTTCCAGTACTGGCAGTCATTTTCTGTCATATGGATCCCCATCACAACCAAGTCCATCTTCTCCTACACTGAAGCTGAATAACTACTGCAGGGTAATAATTTCTGTGCCAAAATGAGTCACGTCCTCAAAAGTGGGTGCTGGTATTTTCAGCCAAGCAGTTCATTTTCATGTGCAAGTGACTATAATGTAACAGCTGATTAGCTTAAGTGGGTATTTTGATATCGATTTGTCAAGAATAGTTAAGCAAGTACAGTGAAGGGGGCTTTTGTCTTGAATTATACATCCACTTTGCATTGGTATATTCTGTTTATTTCATAAACAGGTATCTTTCTGATAGGCACTTGATAATTTAAGGTAAATTACCTCCGTTTCTTGCAAAGATCATCATCTACTCAGTCATGTTTCCTCCAGTTGATAAGAAAATCTCATTATGCCATTTCTACAATGCTCGAAAATGGCGCTCCCATTCCTGTGCCATTTTATATTAGCTGTGACAAGCAAAATGTTTCAATTTTTTCACTCTGTACTTCCCATTCCTTTCCATTACTAGAATAAATCCCTTCTTTCTGCTCCTTGTGGTTAGGCTTTTGCAACTTTTACAGAATACAGAGCACTATTCCCGTGTTGCAAACAATTTCTGTCTTGTTTATGTCCCACTGCTTGCTCCAAGAGTTAGCCCTTGAGGGCTATAAAAACAGCAGCTGCAGGTCCCCACTGCTTTTGAGAATAACAGACAGCAAACCATCCTGAATTTCTTTCTGTCTTTTGTTTTAAAGTGCCTTTCTGAATTTTCTCCCTGTGAAAATCTCTTTGCAAATGTCAGCAGGTGGCTGGGGCAGAAAGTTTGCCACTTCATGCCCTCAGCGATCATCAGTCCCTTGCAGGTTTTTTTCACATGACAGTTGATTCTTGGGTGCATGGAGTAAGGCCTAAATTTTTAGGGATATCTTAGGGCAGTTTGCACCTTCAGGGTGAATGGTGTAAGCAAGGCTCCTGTTGAAGGTGTGTGGCTCATGGTGTGCTCCTTGCTGGCTGCCTGCCCCTGAAACCGTGCACTGCTGGCCTTGTCCCTGGTCACAGGGGTCTGGATAAACAGCCTGAGGGAAGGCGTAGGGTAAGAACCAAAACAGCTGGAATGACAGAAGTTCTAGCATGATAGAAGGAAAGAAAAGCTTTTGCACCATTAGGACAGTCAAGCAATAGTGGTATCCAGAGAGGTTTGAAGTCTCCATCCTTGGACGTTTCCAAGACAGCTGGGTGAAGACCTGAGCACCCTGGTCTGATCTCACAGAAGACCTGACTCTGAGCAGGAGGCTGGGCTTGAGACTCTGGCCTGTCCAGCCTGGACTGCTCTGTAATTTGGTGTTTCTGTTTTCATTCCAAACCTGGCTAATTAGCTTTCTCTATAGCCATATTCAGTTACCTAATACCTGGCTCTCACGATATTCCTCAGCTGCAGAAGGTAAGAGCATCATTATCATCAAGGAATTATTTGTTTGGATGATCAGTTTGCACTCTGTAAACAAAAATTGTTTTAACTGTTTTTATGTGTGAAGATAAAAAAGGTTGTGCAAGCTCTTAAATGGCCAGGTAAAAGAGTTGCAAGTTACTAGACTGCACATAACTCTGGGTCACCTGGAACCTTGCAGCACTGGAATCCCAAGTTTACACCGCAATATCCACTTGAGAAACATTTCAATGTTTGCAAACATACACAGACTCTAACACAAGCATGGAGGGCCTACATCTCCTTCAGCAAGATTTCTAGAGTAATTTAAAACATGTTGCTCGAGTTTTTCTTAAGAGCGGTCCACTTTGGGATGTGCTAAGCTTTAAAGTGCCGTCCCACTGACCTTTCCCAGTTTGTCAGGTCAGCCTCTACACAATGGCCTGACATAGTGGGGAGTAACTGTTATGCTTCTTAGAGACAGGGTGTGGGCTAAAACATGAAAAGACCGATTTTAAAATATTTTCATGTGTGATTAGTTTTAAAATTAAGGAAAGGCTTCATGCCAGAGCTTGAATCTAAGTCTTAGCGGGACTTGGGATAACTGCTGAAATCTCTAGCTGTTTGCTTTCAGTGCACCTTGCTGAGTGACAGGCAAAAACTGAGCTGCCCTGGCAAGTCTTGTATCCAGCTTTGCAGCTCTTGGACTTGACTTCTGTGCTCTTCAGCTGTATGTAGGCTTCAGTTCATACTCAAACAGATGGACTATTTCCTTTTAATTAGCTTATCCCTTCGGCTTTGACTGCTGACAGACCTGGGACCACATTCATGACTGGCTCATAGAAATTCCTGTTGAAAGTAATGGTGGGATAGAGTCATTTAAGACACTACATAGTTCTCTTATTTCTAAGTGATTTTAATAGCTACAAATCAAGTTACCCACAGTGCTGTTCGCTGGTACTTATTGAATTGTTGCCTGCTGGTGGCCAGGCTAAGTTGATTATCTGTCTGGGGACTGCTGCTTCCCTTGAACATGTTTTATCAAGGAAAAGCTCTGCTAAAAGTTCAGAAGTAGGCACGCGTTATTTTTCACGCAGGGTCATCATCTCTCTTTCCTCTTGCTCTATTTGTTGCTCTTCCTGATGCGAAGCCAGGAGAGATTTGTCAGCAGCCAGTGTCCCCGTGGTAGGTGTTTGTGTGTGGAATCCAGTGCAGAGGCTGGAAGCGTGAGTCCAGCGTGTGCAGCCCTGCCCGCGCAGGTCTTCTTCAGCTGGCACTGACAAGCTCCACTGGGAAGGTGCCACAGCATCCACTGCAGCAGGGCTTGGGCACGCTCTCCAGGAGTCACAAGTACATACTGGGGCAGCAAGGTTATGTTAAACCCTGCACTGATGTGGGGTTTTGTGAGATTCTCATCTCGGGTAGCTACGCTGCAGCTAGCTTGGGTTTGCCTGGAAGTGCTGGGGTCTTATCTCCAGTTGTGTTGCCCAATTCACCCAGAAATGTGCAAAAAATGCACATTCAGAACACGCATAGAAGTAACAACAAGGTGATGTATCTTACTTGATCAAACACAGCTTAAGTGAATTAAATAGCCTGTTTAATTTATGTATCAGGTTGCTCTTGCCAGAAGAGTTGCAGCCTGTGTTCACATGCCTGTTTTGTACCGTAAGATCAACAAAACATGAAGGTGTACTTTTAAAATTAATATTAAAAGTTAATATTGTTGATATTTTGAGTATGTTTATGTTAGTGTAAGAATAAATTGCATCCTTGCTCTCAGGAAAGATGCTATGAGAGTTAAAATTAAGAACATTATAAGTAGTTGTTACATATGGATAGATCTCTTTTTGTCATCTTCATTTTATAATTTTCTCTTCTTAAATCAATCTTCCAGTCTCTAATCTATATATAAGGCATTGAGACTATAAAAACCAGCAAAATCAAATGGACAATGAATTCTTAGCACCACAGAACACTTACATATCTAATATAAAACTTAAAGGAGGGAAGAACCTGCAGAATTGGAGAAATATATTACAAAAGTCTTGTTGGCAGAATTTTGCACCACTGCACATAATATATTTTTATTTTAGTCTAGTAAACAGCACATTAGAACTTAACACTCTACAAGTTCCCAGGAGTAGATTGTGCCAAAATATAATAAAATGTCTGAAATGGAGGATCAAATTACAATAATGAAGTAACCAGATGTGAAAATTATATCGTCAGCCTGTCACTCTGCCTCTTTGAATCCTTTAATAGTTGGGTTTTTTCCCTGAACCAACCCTAAATGCATTCAGTGAAAAGCTTTTTCTTGAGCTAGTCTCTCCATTTCTCTTGAGCTAGTCTTCTTGACTACTTCTGCTTAATACTAGTTTCTAAGACTCATTTGCTTTGTAATGCTTTGCAATAGCCTTACCTTGGTAACCCTTTAAACTCTCTGATTGAATCTGTGGCAATCCGACTGCTGTGTTGAGGCTGGAGAGGCTACTGCATCCTCCTTGTTCTTTCTTTTAACACTTTGGGGAAAATCATTTCATCTTTCCATTCTTCAGGTTTCTTGCCAGAAACACGATAGCATTTTTTTTTTAAATCTAGACTTTTTTTTTTTTCCTGGGGGGTTTTTATTGGTGCATGGATTATATCTGAGGAGGTCTTTGCTTAGTAGCTAGTATGATTGCTGTGGATAATTAACAGGGATCCTAGTATCTCCTCTGTCAGGACTCCAAACTGTTTTGTTGCCATACCTTATAAAACTTGTTTGATGTGAGAAAGTATGTCCTGCAAGATGAGATGCTGTGTTATAATTTGTACTACAATCTCCTATGGATTATGGTAATTTATTTAAAAAAAGACTAACAAATTGCATGATGTGTTTTGAATTTTTAGTGTTTTCTAAAGAGCTTTGCAAAGACATGAGGTTAAATATTTGCACTATAGCATGATGATCAATATGTGTATTATAATCACTCCCAAATAGCATTAGATATAGATAATGCTTCTACTAAAACATGATTTATTACAATGTTTTTGACATAAATGTTCTTGTTCTGTTTGGGGAAATGGGATGAACAACATGACCTCCTTTGTTTGCTTTTTGAGATCCCACTCCCTTTTTCTTTTTCTTTAATTTCTTTTTTTGGGTTTTTTTTTTTTCTTTTGATCCTTTGAAAAGAGCTGGAATTATGTCCTTCTGGACACTGCTAAATTATCCTTGCCAGAGAGAGATTACTCAGAGTATGCAAAAAAGTATTTGCTGAGAACAAATTTTAATGTTTTAGCAATGATCCAGTTTGTCTAAAATTGGTATTACCTCTACATGGTTGCACGTTATACTCAAGGATACTCACCAGCCATGAGTAAACTCTGCTAGTGGGAATGGATAAAAAGTTGCTGTTGTCAATAGCAAATATCTCCTGGGACTTGAGCCAAAGTATTGGGAATAATTTGGGAATCCTGGGAATAATCCATATTATTCGGTAGCTTGAGTGTTTTGGTCTATGATTTTGGTTCAGAGATATCTGTAGAACCAACCAAAAAGGCAAATGTCTCTCAGAAATAGAAAAAAAGGCATTATTCAAAGTAATAACAACAGAATACTGAAGTTTTCATTGATATGAAACTTGTACAGTTGAATAGTAAACAATGGATCACATCCAGAAAATTAAAAGGAGAAGGCAATTCTTAGCAAAACATAAGTAGCATTTTTGGGGACCTCTGAACTTGGAAGGTGATGTTGTGACATGGGAAATGATGCTTTTGTTGTTTAACTCAAAATTACATTTTGAAGAAGTGTGACTTAGCCGTGTATCCAATAAGTCCATCACTACTTGCCAGTAAGTAGGTAGAAAAAGATTCTTGGGGAGAGAAGCAAGGTCATGATGTAGAAATCGGAGGCCATGGAATGCTATACTCTAAAGCATCCCTTACCTCTCCAGAGTATCACTCAGTTAATAGTCAACAAGGCTCGGCAATCAAACCAAAACAGTCACCCGACAAGCAAGTTTCTGCTGTCTGTCTGCAAAGGTGCTCTCTCAGAATTGTCAGAGAGGGGTTCCAAAGGTTATAATTGGGCAGTCATGCAGGATGTTGCAAAAATGCAAAGGGTGAAATATTTTTTGAGTGAAATAATCTCATTAATTTTCTTAGAAGAGGTCCAGCGTAGATCTGGCAGAAACAGGTAAGAAAAACGTGTAAAATTAGATGCTTCAACTAGTAATTGTCAGAAGTTTCCTTTAATCTACTCCCAGGTCTGCAAAGTGATTCTTTATTCTGTTCCCATAGGTGCCTATCTACCTAATCTGAGAGAACTGAAGTTGAACAATAGCTTGCTTGTGTCTGTGAGGTAAGAAATGAATGATAACTGAAATAAGCATAAAGAATAAGAGCCCTCAATTTTATTTAAGTGATAAAATCTTCATTAACGCTGCTTTCATTTCTTCCATTTACCCATGCCGTGATAATGGATTAGGTCATGAATACACGCTCCGCAACCACATAAGTTTAAAACAGGACCTGAGCTGGAATAAATCAGTGTAGCTGCAACCGTGCCAATGAATTAGCCCCAGTCTGCCACCAGGGAAGTTCCTGCCATGCTGAAGACCATGGAAATCGGTTGCAAATTCGAAAGGAGATAGAAATTTGCCTCTTATCTATGACTAGGTGCTTGGATTTCAGAGTGTTTCAGCCTTTGGGCTTTTAGTGTGCACAGTAGCCTGTTCTATACAGGTCAGACCAGTTCTTCAGCTGATGAAAATCACTTTGGCTTTATTGAAGTCAAGGAAGTGGCGTTTATGAGAGCTGCTATGAAGACTGCGTGGCCCTGGCTTGCTGAACTCCATGAAAGCATCACACTTTTTCTCTCAAACAACTGGGGAGTTGACAGGTTAGGAAGGTAGAAGTGAAAACCATCACAATGAAGAGGCAGAGCTGTTTTCTCTCTCCTGTGCCAATATCTGTATTACCCTTGGTAATTAATGCATAATACAGTTCATATCAGTAAAGGGCTGTGCAAAAGGCCATTCTTATATTAAACAGGACTACTCTCTAGCTTTGTATGGCTGATAAATTTGTGAGGGGGAAAAAATCGTGATTTTACTAGTTCTTGTTAAAGAGAACATGTTCCCTGAATAGGAAACAGCAATAAATTCATCTCAGTCTCATGCATCGTCACTAAAGTAGCTGATGAACTTCATTTGTCACACTTTGATCTTATTTTCCCCTGTTCTGGTGATGAGATGAAGTATTTGCAGGCCAATATTTTTTTTCCACCTTCTAGTCCATAACATGGAAAAGTGGTGGTTCTACATTGTTGCCATTATTTTAATGGCAACCAACCACTGTTATAAGCATGAAATTGTTCCATTATTGAAAGGGAAGAGTAAGTGGTGAGTGAAAAAAAGTACATTTTTGACAATATCAAAGACATTTTATTATTTTAAAAAGAAAAAAGTTAAAAGAGGTTTTTTGTTTGGCCAAAAATCCATATTCTCTCAAAATGTGTCAATAGAAAATGTTTTGACCAGTTCTGTTGGTATTGAACACAGGATGCAGTTCAGGAAAACTAAACTGTTTAGTTTATTTGACTTATGGCTTTAGTATGATTTTGCACATCCCTTTGCATTCTGAAACTCTAGCTTCTGTCATGATGAGTTTCAGAAAACCGTTTTCTGTGACCTGACATCCTTGTGCTCTTTGATGCAGGTAACATTTCGTCTCAAGTTGAGTTTTGATTTGATCAACTGTAATATAAATATGTTTTGGCTTGGATATCAAGTCTAATATTGTGACGCTTACCAGACACACAAAACTCAGGAGAAGTACTCACTCCTCCTTTTAAATAAGTGTGCTTTCAGTGTGCCAGTTAAATGCAATTGTCAGGGAATAGGTAAAGGAAGAAGACTGTTAGCTCTCCCAGACCAGAACTCGGTCAGTATAGTACAGCAGCAGCTTTTCTTTATTAATTCCCATCTTTGACAATCTGTCCTTGATAAACACAGGTCACTTAAGCGCACAGCCCATGCAAGCACAGCCTGGGTACTTGAGCTTTTGGGATGTCTGCATCATGTCAATTTAATGCCCATTAAAGCAACATTGCTGTTGTGGCAGTAGCAGTGCTGCTATAGCTAATGTAACATAGCTGCTTCCATTCTAGCAGGCTGTTGCCATTTACTCAAAAATGTTTAGAAATCTTATTTCTGAATTAAACATGTTGATGTTTGAATTCTGTCTAAAAAGTGATTATTTTGTTGTATTTGACCAAACCCTTGCAACTGAGGTTTTTGAGGAGGATAGAAAAAAAGTTCTTCCTTCTCACTAAAAGTAATTCCCACAGACTCTCTCAGCTATAAGGTCAGAATCATTGTGGTTGTAATTTGAAAATGGGCAGCAGATAACAGGAAATGTCTCCTAAGGACAGACTGGAAAATTGGTTTGTTTACTGAAAAGAAGGTAAGGACAGAAAAACAGGCAAAAGATAGTGTTTCATACATACTCAGGATGTTAAAAGCATGCTATATTTTCATGCTGTATTATGTGAAAAAAATGTATTACGGTGAATCACTATAAACAAAAGACTGTGTATGCATGAGTGGGTAATAAGATGGGAAACTTGCTTTTTGTCACTTTATTTTTGTTTCATTACATCTTGCAGAGTAGAATTTCCTAATTATTTTAGGATGAAATGGAATTAAAACATCTTTCTTCAGTTTGATAATGGGGGAAGAATTCTCTTGATAATAAACTGCATATAGGGAGATGTCAAAATAAGGATTTATGGTCCTGACTTTAGTTACTGATGTTTTGGGATACAAATATTCCTGTCAACCTCACATAGGAGTGTAGGTTATGAGGATGCTGATGTGCCCATTGCCATTTCTTTGATAGAAATCAAAGAAGGGATGTTCTAGCAGTTGAGGAATCAAGGTAGTTGTGTAATACAATTTTCTATGTGAGAGCAAGGCTTGCTAGGTCAGTAGGTTTGGATATTGGCTCTTCCTGGTAGTTCCTGAAGGAGTTCTGGTTCCTTTGATGGCGAATGTGGTTGAGTTACTTTAGTTGTAAATTCATGGTCCCTTCCCCAACCCTTCTAAAGCTTGCATTACCTTTGCATACCTGAAACTTTGAAAGGCTATATGTAAGTGAAGGATATCATTATCAACGAGTTAACCCATAAGGAAAATATATTCACGTTTATTTGTAGATAATCCAGCTTGTCAGTTGAAAGGGAATTTCTTTTTTGGTTGTTAATGGGTTTTAGTGTTCTGCTGGCGCTTGGCTAAAGGGGAACAGCTCTGGAAAATACAGTGTATTGAGGAAAGAAATTAGTTCAGATTGTTGTTAATTTTCTAAATCACACTAATTTTATGAATCCTTGTTTGGTGACCTTCACCCATCTGCTAGCAGCTAAGAAATTCTAGATTTATGAACTGATAATTGAGGATGAAACATGGAGCCTATTCTGAAGAGTGCCTGTTAAAAACTGCCTTTTTTGGGATTTGTGATGACACAGATTCCTTGTCTTTGTAATGTTTCCAGTAAAAGAACTATATTTCAAGGCCAGTGAATTACTGCTTCTGCTCTGGTATGTAGTGTATGGTTTTTTTGGTTTGTTTTTTTTTTTTTTATCAGATTGCTTTTATTCTCAATTCAGGGATGAATGAAAAGATCTGTTTTAAAATGTTAGATAGAGATCTTTATGAAAGGGCTTTTAAATCAGATAAGGGAACCTCAGGAACTGCCTCCCCTGAGTTTATAACAGAAGCTGTTGCACCAGCTGAAGTTCATTTCCTCCCATTCAGCTCTATGCATTGTAGCCAGCAGAAGACTGGTCTTAAGCAACTTAAGCAACTGCTTGTAACAGAGAGAGTTTATTATATTTGAAGTGAGATGAAATGCAGAGACTGCAAACTGTAGGGACAAAAATAAGTATGAGGGATATAAGAAAAGGAAAGCAGATTTCTTTCATCCAGACAGAGTTAATATTTTGTTGCTGCAGTCTATGTTGCATGCAGTTCTCAGATTGCTCTTGCCCTGTTGCAGAAGAGTCCCCCGGAACAAGAGGACAGTAATCCTGGTCCATTTGGGTCAGTAAAGTCATCATGGGAGAGTGGAAATGAGACAGCTGTCCTGAAGGTTCAAATGAGCAAGGTGCAGAGTACATTCAAATTCAACAATTCTCATGCTTTCATGAGTTTTAGAAATTATTTGTTTGGTTTGGTTTGGTTTGGTTTTTGTAACACCAGCTCCCAGGGACAAGACTGGCTACACAGGACTCTCTGCATTCAATTTCTGAAAAGTTTTAGGCCTTCTTGGCTGTGAAAAAATAACTGAAAATGTGAGCCAAGTGATTTGAGTAAGGATTTTGGTGATCATTTCATGACTTTAAGAAACCAGAGCCAAACCAATTCTTTCTTAATTGAGGGTAAGGGTTTTAAACCAATGTAGAAAAATATTTTTGAGACTTGATTCAAGATCTTTAGGAATTTGAGTTTAGCAATATTACTCCTTGGTATTTATCCAACAAAGAGTTTAAGCAATGCTCACCTCTGACAGTCACAAAAAGTTTGACTGTGGAATTGCTCACAAGCTGAAAATTGAACATAAGTCCAAGTGCTTAGCTGGATCTGGACCAAGTTACACCATCTTGTATAAGACTGAGCTGCGACACTGCTCAGTTAGTGTGTCTCTAGGCACCCGCTGTTTGCTGGATAGTTTTCTTTCAAACAGAATAAATTTAGGGGCATCATTCCCCTAAATTTGTTTCTTCCTTGTCATTTTTACTTACTCCTTTTCTTGCTCTTTTTTTCTGCAGTTTCCTTTTTCTTCTGCTTGTCATTTCTAATTTTTTGCAGTTGCTGCATTACTATGTCTTATGAATGCAACATAGGTACTACATGTAAATGCAATGGGTTCTGTGCAGCAAGAATCGGCATTCCTTTTATCATAGATAAAAATCCCAAAATGTTTTCTAAAATTAATTCAGTTACTTAGTTTGCATTAAAGATGCAAATGTTTGTCAACAGATTATTTGTATTAGAGTATCACAGAATCAACAGAATGGTTTGGGCTGGAAGGGACCTTAAAGATCACCCAATTCCAACCCCCCTGCCCTGGACAGGGACACCTTCCATCAGCCCAGGTTGCCCAAAGCCCCGTCCAACCTGGCCTTGAACCCTTCCAGGGAGGGGGCAGCCACAGCTTCTCTGGGCAGCCTGTGCCAGGGCCTCACCACCCTCACAGGGAAGAATTTCTTACAGTAGTTTCTTACAGTGTTTAATGAGGGATCAGGGTATTCTTGCTCTAGGTTGTACCTATGCATGCAGTCAGAGAACTACTGCTCTGGTT